AGAAAACTCCCAAAATGTAGCTAGCTAGCTAGCTTCCAGACATCTGAAACTTTTCCCAAATTTCAGGAGAAATTACGCATTGCAGTCCTGGTCTCCAAAGCTGCCTTCCATTTCATAGAAGGTGAGTGAACATTTTCATTTATCACCGCACATACATACATACATACATACATCCGCATACCGATTGATTTCTTGCAATTACACTAACTTCAGGCGCCCAACTGAGTGACTATGCCGTCCCCAAAGAAGTGGAGGCCGCTGGCTTCCAAATCTGCCCCGATGAGCTCAGCTCCATTGTAGAAGGCCACGACCTTAAGAAACTCGTTGCCCACGGCGGGCCTGCCGGTGTGACCCGCAAGCTCCACACGAGCTCCTCCTCTGGCCTCCCGTCCGACTCTGAATCTCTTAACCGCCGCCAGGCCATCTATGGGCCCAACCGGTTTCAAGAGCCCGAGGCCCGCAGCTTCTGGTTCTTCTTCTACGAGGCCCTCCAGGACACGACCCTGATGATCCTGGCAGTGTGCGCCCTCGTGTCCCTCGTGGTCGGCCTGGCCACTGAAGGCTGGCCCAGCGGGGCCCACGACGGCCTCGGGATAGCCGCCAGCATCCTCCTCGTGGTGTTTGTGACGGCCACTAGCGACTACCGGCAGTCGCTGCAGTTCAGGGACCTCGACCGGGAGAAGAAGAAGGTCTCCGTCCAGGTGACGAGGGATGGGTACCGCCAGAAGCTTTCCATCTACGACCTCTTCCCGGGGGACATTGTCCACCTCAGCATCGGGGACCAGGTGCCTGCAGACGGGCTTTTCCTATCGGGCTTCTCGGTGCTGATTGACGAGTCGAGCCTCACGGGGGAGAGCGAGCCCGTGGTTGTGAACGATGAGAGCCCATTTCTGCTGTCGGGCACAAAGGTCCAGAATGGGGCATGCAAGATGGTGGTAACGACTGTGGGGATGCGCACACAGTGGGGGAAGCTGATGGCAACGCTGAGCGAGGGAGGGGATGACGAGACCCCGCTGCAGGTCAAGCTCAACGGGGTGGCCACTGTTATTGGAAAAATCGGGCTTTTTTTTGCTGTCGTGACATTTTCTGTCCTGGTCCGCAAGATAGTAGGGCGCAAGTGGGAGGATGGGACCGGTCTCATATGGTCCGGGGATGACTGCTTAGAGCTGTTGGAGTATTTTGCCATAGCAGTCACGATTGTTGTGGTGGCCGTTCCAGAAGGACTCCCGCTTGCCGTGACTCTGAGCTTGGCCTTTGCGATGAAGAAGATGATGAACGACCGCGCGCTCGTGCGCCACCTGGCGGCGTGCGAGACCATGGGCTCAGCCACCAGTATCTGCAGCGATAAGACGGGAACTTTGACCACCAACCACATGACCGTCGTGAAGTCATGCGTCTGCATGGACGTGAGTGGGCCTGGAGAGACTCGTGAGATTCCGGAGCCGGTGGTGAAGATTCTGCTGCAGTCCATTTTTAATAATACGGGCGGGGAGGTTGTGGTGGGTAAGGATGGTAAGGTCGAGATTTTGGGGACACCAACCGAGATGGCCATATTGGAGTTCGGTTTGTCGCTCGGGGGAGAATTCAACGCTGAGAGAGAAAAGTGTGAGCTCGTGAAGGTCGAGCCCTTTAATTCAACAAAAAAGCGGATGGGGGTTCTGTTGGGGCTTCCGGGAGGGGGTTTCAGAGCCCACACAAAGGGCGCGTCCGAGATTATTCTGGCCGCGTGCAACAAAATGATGGGGCCAGACGGCGAGGCCGTGCTCCTCGACGAGAGTTCTTTTGCTCGTCTGACAGCTGTTATCGAGGAGTTTGCGAACGAGGCTTTGAGGACTCTTTGCCTTGCGTATATGGATCTCGAGAGTTGTGAGCAAGGAGATAGTATTCCCGAGACAGGATATACTTTGATAGGGATCGTGGGGATTAAGGATCCTGTGAGGCCAGGGGTTAGAGAGTCGGTCGCGCTTTGCCGGTCGGCCGGCGTGAACGTGCGTATGGTGACAGGGGATAATATTAACACTGCGAAAGCCATCGCGAGGGAGTGCGGGATACTTACTGATGACGGTGTGGCTATTGAGGGTCCTGTCTTCCGGGAGAAGAGCTTGGAGGAGTTGCATGAGTTGATTCCCAAGATCCAGGTACTGACACATTTTTTTGCATATATATCCAAATCCTTTTCCACATAAAA